GTTTTAGTAACCTTGTTAGTCACATTGCTTAGTTTATGTAGCTAAGTATTTGCGCTCTCTAATTAGGCATTGGTTGCCTTGTTATTGAGTATTGCTAGTGAGCTTAGTTAGCTTTGTGCTTTTGCTTACTAGCATGTGTAGGAGCTCCCTTGTTACTTAAAGTACTAGTGGCATAGGTTTGTGTGACTTTGCTCCTAGAATTGTTTAAGAGAGCTCTAGCTAGCCCGGCACCTTAGTTGCTTTATTAGTATCTTTGCAAGGTGCTATAGAACATATATTGAGGGGTGTAGTTTTGGCTAGACCGATAGTTGTATTTCCGCATTTGTTTCGGTTAGCCGACGCGATTAATTTTACAAAAGACTATTCACCCCCCCTCTAGTCCGTCATCTCGACCCTACAGGGTGGCGAGAGCGAGGAGGCACGCGCGGACAGGTCGTGCCTACGGACGTCGTCGTGCATGCACACGCCGCCGAGGCCAGGGAAGAAGCAGGGGAGACCATCTCCAAGGGACACAGGAACTACGAGCTCATGCTCAACCTGCAGCTTGGCATCAGGTGTTTAAGTGTTCTACACTGTTGTCGCCACGGGCATCACGAGCATAGGAGGGTGAGCGCCAGAGCGTGCGGCGCTGCGGCGCCCTCGCCACGGTAGCTGGCTCGGCTTCACGTGCTCGCGCCGCACTCGGTAGGGGGTTTTCTGCAAATGCACGTTGAATTTAATGTTAAATAAATGGGTATGAACCTGCAATGAACCAAAAATGCAGTTTAAAAGTTGATGGACCTATATGACACCCCCAAGACCCAACAATGCAGTTTCAAAGTTAATGGACCTATATGACACCCCCAACGAAAGTTAATGTACCTACGGTGTATTTTACTCTAGTTTGAACTTGAGCCCCTCACCCCTAAGTTTTTATCCTAGATCTGCCACTGCACGAAATGATTGGGCAACATGCATGTTGTTACATCAAAAGGTGTTATTGAGTTTTTATTGCATTGGCTAAAAGAATATTGGTTAAAATTTAAAAGTTTACCTGTTGACATACACAGAAATATCTTATAGACTGCACTGGAGGGAGTATTAGCGAATATAGTCAGAACGTATAATTTATTGTGGGCCGTAGCAAACATACCACTTTCGTCAAAAACAATAATGAGGAAAGATACCATCAACGTCTGGACTGTGTATGTTGCCCAATAATTTCGTGTATACCAACATTTTATATAAATTAAATGTTGATCTGGACATGGGCTACACAGTGCAGACATCGATGGATGTGAAAGGGTTTCTACTCAGTTCTATGCCCTGGCATGCATGAAGAAGCATGCACTGCATCACCCGGTCCTTGCAAACGTTGATGGATGTGAAGGGCAAAGTGTCTGGTATTAGAGGAACTCCACCACCACATTGACAAAAACAATCTTTTTTCCCTAAAAATTATCATATGGAGGAATAAGGTTAAAAAGTCTGCTCTAGCAGATTCCCTTTCTCAATCCACTCTCCTTGTAGTTTTTCTCAAGCCCTCAAAACCTTCCCGCGAGCAAGCATCCTTTTTTTGTCAATCCCCTTTCCTCCCTCCTTTTGTCACTGACATGTAGGTCCACGTAATAAAGGAGATGGAGTTTCCTCAATCTGCTGCCGCAGCCCTCCCTTACCCTGCAATTCCGTTTCCTCAATCCCCTATAGGAGACTTTAAGGAAAATTGGATAGGGAAACTAGTGGAGTTGTTCTTAGTACTCGTCTGTCAACGTCCACTCAGTCATGCATGCATATGCACAGGCCGGCAGCCATTTCATCAGCTTTCAGATTGGGCGGACTGCAAGCCTAGGTGTCGTCGTATTTGGCGCCTAGCTCGGCGCCAAACAACATGGCGCCAAGGTCAGGGACTCGTGCCACGTAATATCCATGTAAGACGCCCACCTCAATGCCAAGGTCTATGGCACCGAGACATGTAAACTAGGCGCCAAAAATCATGACGCCTAGGTTAGGGTTCATTTCTATAATTCTTTACCTAAGGGATCTAAATGTATTATTTTACAGAAAAGGGACTAAATTAGAAAAAAGTCAGGTCTTTGTTAGATGTTGATAAATTAAGAAGGGTGCACTGACATGACTTCCATAATAACTGTCTGGACTTTAATTATGCGTGAACTTTAATTTGCCACCCTTTTCAATTTATCCATGCATGTACTCAAGGGTTCGAATTTACTGAAGACACCGAGCCTAGACATGAAGCATAGTGCAATCCCACAGTTTCTCTTGCTGCTCATGGCTGGCTGTGCACGTGTTGCCATCTGTTCCTTGGACGGAAACAGCACAGATAGGCTGTGGCTACTGGAGTTCAAGAAGGCCATCACCAGTGATCCACAGCAAGCCTTGGTGTCCTGGAATGACACCACCCATTTCTGCAGTTGTAAAGGTGTCCAGTGTAGCGCCAAGCACCCAAATCGTGTCACTTCTCTTCGTATTCCGAATCAAGGGTTAGCTGGGCCGATCTCCCCTTCGCTTGGAAACTTAACGTTCCTGAGAATCCTGGTCCTATCGACTAATTCATTCACTGGAGAGATTCCCCCATCCCTTGGTCATCTGCATCGCCTCCAAGAGCTCAAATTGAGTAATAATACGCTACAAGGTAGGATACCCAGTCTTGCAAACTGTTCCAGGCTCAAGGTTTTGTGGCTGTCCAATAATCATCTAGCTGGACAGATACCTGCAGATTTGCCTCATGGCCTTCAAGTGCTGATACTTGGGGCTAATAATCTCACTGGAACTATCCCTGCTTCTCTTGCCAACATCACAGCACTATATAAGTCTGGATTGTATTTCAACAGCATTGAGGGGAGCATCCCAAGTGAGTTTGCAATGTTGCCAGGGCTGCAATATCTGTACATGGGTGGAAACAAGTTTTCAGGCAGTTTTCCACAGCCCATCCTGAATCTTTCTAGCCTAATTTTATTGAATGCTGCTGAGAATGATCTAGGCGGAGACTTACCGCCAAATATTGGCAACTCTCTTCCCAACCTTGAACTGCTTGAGTTAGGCGCCAACTTTTTTCTTGGCCTTATCCCACCTTCTTTCACAAATGTCTCCAAGCTGTTTCATTTCGATATATCAAGGAATAAGTTCACTGGGGTAGTGCCTAGCTCCATCGGCAAACTTTCTAAATTAACTTGGTTAAATCTTGAGATGAATAAACTACAAGCAAGACTGGGAGTTTATGAATAGTTTAGCAAATTGCACTGAGCTACGAGTGTTGTCAATATCATTTAATCAGCTACAAGGCAATGTACCAAATTCAGTAGGCAACCTTTCCAGTCAACTCCTGTTTCTATACTTGGCAAATAATCAACTGTCAGGGGAGTTTCCTTCTGGTATAGCAAACCTGCACAAACTGATCAGTGTAGCACTGAACGTCAATAAATTTATAGGTGTAGTTCCAGATTGGATTGGAACTCTCACAAACCTACAGAAAGTAACACTAAACAACAATTTCTTTACCGGGGCCATTCCATCATCCTTTTCAAACATGTCTCAGTTAGAACAACTCTATATAGACTCAAACCAGTTCGATGGAAACATACCTCCAATCCTAGGAAACCTCCAAACACTTGGATCATTGAACGTTTCCGACAACAATCTTCATGGCAACATACCAAAGGAGCTCTTCAGAATTCCAACATTAAGGGAGATTATCTTATCTTTCAACAACCTACATGGACCACATCATGCTGACATCGGCAATGCAAAACAACTCACATATTTGGATATTTTATCAAATAATCTATCTGGAAACATTCCTAGCACTCTTGGTAATTGTGAAAGTTTAGAAGATATCGAGATGGGACATAATGCTTTCAGCGGAAGTATCCCCACTTCACTAGGCAATATAAGAAGCCTACAGATTCTCAACATGTCTCACAATATACTGGTCCAATACCGTTGTCTCTTGTCAGCCTACCGCTTCTTGAGTAACTTGATCTATCATTCAATAATCTTAACGGTGAGGTGCCACCAGAAGGAATCTTCAAGAATGCAACTGCTATACTGATTGAAGGAAATCAGGAGCTTTGTGGTGGACCGCTGGAGCTACACTTGCTTGCATGTCATGCCATGCCTTCAGATTCAGCAACTAAGAACAGGCTATCAGTTGTACAGAAAGTAGTGATCCCAGTAGCCATAGTGGTGGCACTGTCTGTAGTCATTTCTGTTTTGTTCTTCCTCCGGAGGCCAAAACAGAAGACAGAATCCATTTCTTTGTCCTCTATCGGGAGACAATTCCAGAAAATTTCTTACAGTGATATTGTCAGAGCAACAGGGGGTTTTGCAGCATCCAATCTAATTGGTCAGGGAAGATACCGTTCTGTTTATAAAGGACAGTTGTTCCGTGACAGAAATGTGGTTGCCATCAAGGTCTTCACTCTGGAGACAAGAGGAGCACAAAAGAGCTTTATTGCAGAATGTAGTTCTTTGAGAAATGTGCGACACCACAATCTGGTTCCTATCTTAACTGCATGCTCAACCATCGATTCTACTGGGAATGATTTCAAGGCCCTTGTATATGAGTTCATGCCACGAGGAGACCTGCATAACTTATTGTACTCAGCTCGAGGCGGTGAGGATGAGGACTCTCCAATTTTGAACAATGTTTCACTGGCTCAGAGGTTAAGCATCGTTGCGGATGTATCAGACGCTTTGGCGTATCTGCACCACGAGCACCAAGGAACCATTGTGCACTGTGATCTGAAACCAAGCAGCATTCTTCTGGATGGTGACATGGTAGCTCATGTTGGAGACTTTGGCCTAGCAAGGTTCAAATTTGATTACGCAACATCAGCTTGTACTAGTGACATAAATTCGACCTCTTCAGTTGCCATCAAGGGAACCATTGGATATGTTGCTCCAGGTATTATATTGTCCCTTTCCACCTTGTATTTCTCTCTAGGTAACCTGATAATAACTATATCTATTTTAGCTAAAATCTTTCTACATGTGATCTATAGAATGTGCAGGAGGTGGTCAGGTTTCAACTTCCTCGGATGTCTACAGCTTCGGAGTGGTTCTCCTAGAGATATTCATCCGGAGGCGGCCAACAGACGACATGTTCAAGGATGGGATGAGCATTGTAAAGTTTGCAGAGATCAACGTCCCTGACAACGTGTTGCAGATTGTTGTCCCACAGCTGCTGCAAGGACTGCACCTCAGCATGGAGACGCCAATGGCCATCAGGGACAGGGACAGTGAAGCTCAGATCTTGCGGTCTGTAATCAACATTGGACTCTCCTGCACCAAGACGTCCCCCAACGAGCGCATCAGCATGCAGGAAGTGGCTGCCAAGCTGCATGGGATCAGGGATGCATATCTTAGCCGAAACTTATGGATGAGCTAAGTAGCATAGGTTCTGAACGAACAACTCAATAAATGAATTTCATTTTTCAATTCTCATGTACAATGTCTAGTTATGTTGGTCTTTTAAATTGAAAATGTTCTATGTATAAATAAAGGCAACGTATCAGGTGCAAACCAACTAACCTTTGTAAACTTAGAAACTACCAATCAGGACCACTGAATGCTGATCCAATGAATGGGGTGAGAGGTGGGATTTTTTTGCGCTTAAACCCCCACCCGCCGTCTTTTTTTTTTTGTGCTTGAGCCCCTCACCCCATCCATTGGATCAGCATCCAGTGGTCCTGATCGGTAGTTTTCAAGTTTACACAAGTTGATTGGTTTGCACATTATATGTTGCCATAAAAAAAAAACAGACTTAGTGCCGGAGGCTCCCACATGAGTAGAGTCTTGAGAATGAAAAACCGAGGCTTGCCTTCTCCTCGCAAAATCTACGGAGAAACTGATTCGAACCCATGATCTGATGACTCAGTGAGACAGCTCTCACCACTACACCAGACCTACCCTTTGAAAATGTTCTATGTATGATTCACAAATTTTAAGGCATCATTTCTACAATACTTCAGCAACGACAGGGTCACAGTAAATCAGTAACAGTTAGTATCCTGATATACTCAGTCGTCCACTGATAAAGAATCTAGCACATCTGAGTGTATACCTTGCCGCTGAATGTAGTGTTTGGACGAGATAAAAGAATCTATGATAATTTTATTATTTGCAATATGACATGAATTTGGAAGACAGTTCAGTACAAGGATTCATATAGTCTTCATTCTGTAAGCTAGAACAACAAGGCTACACAATCCTGTACACACAGGATGGAAATCTCCACAACCACCTACCAAACGACTCCCGCGCATCCAAAAATAATTGGCTATCCTGAAAATTGGTGGGCGACTAGCAAATTTTGAGTTCCAGTGAGACCATTATGGCAACACGGGTGACATGTGCCTGCCACAGTGATCAACGACTCATGGCTGAACTAGCTGTTGCCTCCCTTCTGTTTTAAGGTGATCTTATCTCCTAAGCTGAGCGCGATTCCTTGGGTCTTGCTTCTGATCCTGATGTAGCCACTCAACTTGCCATCAGCCTGCTTCTCAACACTGATATTCACCAGAGCGTCCTCACCAAACACACTCTTGGCATAGAGATTTGCAGCAAGGAACCCACATTCTCCATCGAGTGCAGATCTGATGTAAGTAGAAAATGAGCAATGCGTTAGCAAAAAAAGCATTTATCATCTTTCTAGCCTAATAGAACTTCAAATATCCCACATACCAGCACTCATTCAACAATAAGCGATGGTCAGTGTAACAATTCCCCCAGTTTTCCAACCAATTTAATAACTAAACAGCTTTTCTAAGTGAAAACAAATGGGAGGGTTCTCGGTTTTGGTACACCAAATTAAGCAGCCATGTACTTCCACTACAAGGAGTAATCATATGTAGAATGATCAATATTAAGGGGTATTTGGATCTCTGTCCATGCATGGTTGGCTTGGTAAAGGACTAGGTACATTTCTTCTACTTTATGCAATTTCTGCTCAGCTCTTGTAACAAAGAAAGGAAATTTGATCTTTCTAACATATAATCATATGACTCAAGCAAACATGACTGGCCTTGCAACCTAGGAAACTGAGTAAAAACCAGATTGACCTAAATAGATCACTCCTGCATGATGTAGAACAGACATGTGAACAAATAGACATTACACTAGTTTATTTTGAACACTGAGAAAAAGGCCATAAATTTCCACATGCCTCAAGACTGTACTATTGAGAGAAATTTATGCCTGTATTTCAATGTTTTGTACTTTACGGCCTTGTTTGGATGCCCATGACCTCAATCCATGTGTGTTGGGACTGGTTTGGATACATGGACATCCAAACAAGCCCTACATGTGTCTGAATGACTAATGACACTACAGATATCTCTAGCATTAATATACAAAAGCAGACACAATTCCAGTATGCAGATAAATGTGTATGGTCTGGATTTGTTGGAACTTACGGTGGTGTTAGACACTTCATATTCGTGGACTTAATAATATGATTCAAGAATTCCTTCTCATCCTGAATCACAGTATTCACCGCCACCTGATAAACAATGAAACAATAGTCATAAGAATAGTTAATCAATAAGACAAAAGAGTCATAAAAACCCAGGAGGACTACATGTGTGCATTGTTTGATGTCAACCATATATAAACAGAGTAAAGCTACCAATGAAATTGGTTAGCTTGAACATTGATGACATGTCTGATGAGGGGAGATGATTGGGAAGTTCCTTGTCCTGAAATTTCTTAGTCCCTCACCAAAACACCCAGAAGTTTTTACCATGTAGATGCTTGTTATTAATCAAGAACTTTTAAAAAGAATAAAAACTAAACCAGTAGAGGATATTAACTCATTTGTGGAAACCTATATGGCACAACTTCAGCATAGGTTACAACTATATGATAGAAGTGTAAGCGATAGTGTCTGTGGCATAAACTACAGAAACCATCTTGAAAGGAAAAAAAAAATCAGAAGAGTTTTATTACCTTATTTTCCCACTCAAATTCTGCCCACATGTTCCGGAATGCAACATCAGCACATGTAGCAGGTGAGATGTAATCCATGATATCAATGTGAATGTCATTTAGGACCACCACAGATCGTTCCATCACATTTGAAGTTTCATAAACTACGTTACCAAATATGACTCCAGTCTCTGTTGATGAGACCTTGATATTGGCTCGAATTTGCTTGCTTGACTCAGGAGCCAATGTATAGTTTTGAGGACGGTCAACAAGTTTTAGGTCGCCCATTGTTGCTAACTCCAAGCATAAGTTCTGGAGTGTTTCTTTTGTTCGGTTTATGACTGTAACATCAAGTACAATATCATAATGATGAACAGTTACAAATGCCTCGGCATACACAGGGTCACTGAATCCTGTCAATTGAAGAATACGATTTAGCTTGTTGGTATCATCTGCATCCTTAGTAAATTGACCGGTTGCAGCCTTCAAATCATCTTGAACTGCATCTTCCAGCTCAAGCTGGCTCATTCCCTGTGAGAAAAATGCCAAATTTAGCAGTGTATGAAAGAAACACAAAGAAAAAGGGCATGCCCAATGCTGAAAGCTCCCATGCAAGGTTGGATGTAGGGAAGTGAACTACTAGTATGGAAGAAACAAAAAACAGAAAATTATCATGCTTTCAAAAAGATGGTGATTATGCAATTGCTGTCATTAAACATTGATGAAGTTCAAATCTTTATGTCAACACAAGTCAGTTCATTTTCTATGATAAAAATGCAGTTTTGAACAACAAACATGAAAAAATATAACTATGTTTAAAAAATATAGCTTTGCTATCCTTAAGAAAAATATGTTACCAATAATTAGCCTCGAATTGAAGACAATGACACTTTTCTTTATGAATTAATAAAAAAACGTTTACACATTATGGACCATTGGAAGGAAAAAAATGTTGACTGATTTCAGTTTCTATAGAAATTCTGTTCAAATATGCACATCTGGTTATTCCTTGACCCAATAAAGACATTTTTTTAACTTTACTATCTTCATACAATAGAAATATGTTTCAACATAGGCTAGACATATGAACCAGAAAAACAGAGCAAACACAATACTTCTATAATCATGAGTCCATGACTTCACTAAGTGAGACTAAATTTAAGAACTAATGGAACAGGAGAAAAATATGAACTAGCAATCAGTAATCATGGAGAACTAATATTGTTTCAGATTTTTTTTTAAAAAAAAGAGAAAAGTAGATCAATCTCACCTTCCTGCTCTTTAGGTGATAGAAATCAATAAGATCATCTGGTTGGGCATAAGTTATCTGTGCCTTGGCCTTCATCTCCTCAGTCTCCCTAAATTGCTTCTCAGCAAGCATGTTGACAAAGCTCTGGCGGCAAGACTGCAACCAGACCTTCCTAACATCATCACCAGTATTGCAAAGCAGCCTCACACAGAGAACAATACGATCATACGAGTCATTGTCAATAGGGTGTGGGAGGTAAGATGACTTTCCCAACTGCAAGATGGACACCATGATCAACAAGGCTTCAGTACTAGCCTTGTTTACTTCAACCTTTGCTGGCTGAATCTCCTCCAGCCTCAACACAAGCTTGGTCAGGTTACAGGCAACAACAGCAGCCAAGAAGAAATCACCAGACAGAATGAGAGATCTGAGATTCTGGCTGGAAGCCAACGACCCAAGAGCTGAAGCAGGAGCCGAAATAGCAGTCTCAGTGGCAGCACTCTGTGTGGCATAAGTTCCATCTGCAAGAACAGCAGGCCTCCTCGAAGACACAGTGACAGAGTTCACCGCTGGCTGGGATGGCTTAGAGGAATCAGTTGTCTCACCTTCCTCAGAGACAGTGTAGAATGGAAGATCCCCAAGGCATTGCTTGATGGTGGAAATGGCACTCTCAACCTCAGAGAGAGACAGGGAATACTCTCCAAGGATCCAGAGAGCACAGGAGCAGACACGGGATGCCCGGATCTGATAGAATATGTCGATCAGCCTCTGGATCATGGACACACGGAGCTTGGGATTAGTCTCTATAATCTCGCGCACAAATAGAACGACATCAAGTGCTGCAGCAACATTAGGATCCCCAAGGAAGTCCATGAGAAGGTGTACAACCAATGCAGCCACCTCCGGGTACTTCTTGGCACAGTTATGGATGGCCTGCACTAGCATCTGGCGGTATTCACCACCCTTCTCCACCTCAGCGGCCTGTGTCTTAACCACCTCCTTCTTGAGGTAGAGCACCAGCTCCTCAACATTTCTGGGGGTGAGCAGATCCAGGACCAAATCCAGCACCTTCCTCCTAACATCCACATTGGGGCTAGCCAGCGCGCGCAGCACATCCATGACCATATCCACCATCACCTCCCTGTGAGAGGAGCGCAGCTCGTGCAGGCGGTCCAGGATGATGAGCTTCACATTGTTGTCGCTCTGCGAGGATAGCAGCTGGCAGTATGTATTGGCGGCGGCCCGCACAGCCGTGGGCGCAGATGAGAGGGACACGAGCGCCCCCGCGCACTCGTACACGACAGCCGCGCTGGACGCCGAGAGGAGGGAGATGATGACCGTGATATACCTGCCCTTGTCGGCACGGCCCTTGGAGCGGCAGACCTTGCGGATGAGGTCGACGGCGGCCATCTGCAGCAGATCGGGCCACTCCGCGACGCGGTCGGCGCTGCTGAAGAGGTAGGCGACGGCGCGGTCCTGGCCGGCCGCCAGGAGCATGAGGAACGCGTTCCTGCGCGCGGCGGGGTCCTGCTCGGAGGCGAGCGCGCGCTCGACGAGCTCCGGCGCGTCGGGGATGAGCTGGTCCCCGTGCTGGAGGCTGTAGATGGCGGAGACCGCGGAGAGCGCGTGGCGGCGCACGAACTGGTGGCGGTGCTCGAGGTTGGCGAGGACGGAGGGGACGAGCGGCTCCAGCAGCTCGGGCTCGGTGAGGCGGCAGAGGAACCGCAGCGTGACGCCGCGGATGTACTCGTTGGGGCTCTGCAGGCTGTTGCGGAGGTTCTGGCAGATGAGGATCATCTCCGGGAGGACCTTCCCCGTGGCGGCGTCGCGCTTGTCGACGGTCTCGAGGTAGAGGAGGAGCAGCTTCTGGACGGCGTGGTCGTCACAGGACTGCACGTAGCGGACGACGGTGATGAAGAGGTGCGGGAGGGGCTCGCCGTTGAGGAGCAGCGAGATGGCGCGCCGCATCGCGTCGGCCTTGGCGGGGCCGTCGCCGGACTCGAGCTCCGCCTTGATCTCGTTCGCCATTGACGGCGAGCCCTTGTCGAAGTGCACCAGGAATGTGCACGGCTTCTCCATGGCCGCCAGATCTGCGAGGCCCGTGGATCTGGCCTGGCCTCCTCGAGGGAGGGAAGGGAGGGGGATCGGATCTGGGGGGTAGGAACAGGAGGAAGACGAATGCGTAAGATTTATCGGGGACAGTGACCCGTGCCGCAAAATTGGGGCGAGTTGAACGGTTGCTTCGCCTAGTCATATGGGCTCCGAAAGGGCCCAACGAAGAAAATGGGCCACATTTTTGTTTGAGGGGATAATGGGCCACAATTAAACAGCATTCATCTGTCATTAACAATTTCTGAGATTCTAAAAAAACAACAATATTTGAACCTCTAAGGCCTTCCTAAGTGGTTCCCAGATAGCTAGTTACAAAAAATTTATTGGCTACTGAGGAGCGACTCCGAAATAGCTAGTGTAATACGAACTTCTAAAAACAACTCACTCGCAACTCGCATAACCCTTCACTATAGTGTTCTTTTTTATTATTATTTTTTAGCTTCGTCTAGCTAGCTATTTGCAAGTTATCATTGAAGATGCTCTAAGAGATCGTGGCAATTTCCTATGAAATGAGCGGTTTTCGCAAAAAAAAATCAGATCACAAGGAAAATGAAGTGGACATATTAGTTGCTTAACCATGCACGGCAGCACGTGTCTACAATCGGAGCCTCTTTCGTACATATTCATCCGGCTCCTTTCTACAGCAGAAAAGATCTGGTGGGCACTATAGAAATAGTGTAGCACGGAGCTCTTTTTCTCTCTCCAGCGCAAAATGAACCGGCAAGGTAAAGCTGGTGAAGCCCGTCAAAGTAGTTTCACCTGGCTCCTTGCTATAGTGTTTCTCTGGTTTTACCAGCCAGCTGAACATCCTCACAGAACACTATTCATCAACCAGCCGTTACAGTGTTTCTCTCTCACAAAACCAGTCAGTTTCAGCCAAGTTTCAGACCAGCGAACGGGGCAGTGTCGCAACAGTACCGAAGCTAGGGCCAGTAGGATCTGCACCAAACGGCCCTTGGAACCTCGACTTCGCAGCACATTCCATGCTTATGGACACATCCGAGTGCTACCTGCACTACCAGGACACATCACCTATTGCGGACAAGTCGTCGTGTCTACTGGTCGCGCACACACAAGCATACGCACCTAAAACCCTAGCTGCCAATGCAATTAATTTTGCCAAATTTGCACCGCAATAATTAAGGCTATTCGAAACACACCTGCACTTTATGTTTGTCCACGCCGATCAACCTGTTCACTCCTAGATCATTCGCTTGAGCCCTTATTTAGTTCCTCCCCAAAACTTTATATCCTTATCACATCGAATATTTAACACATGCATGGAGGATTAAATATAGACTAAAAAAATAACTAATTGCATAGATTGCGACTACTTTGCGAGACGAATCTTTTAAGCCTAATTAGTCCATTATTTGACAATAAAGTGCTATAGTAACACATGTGTTAATAACGGATTAATTAAGCTTAATAAATTCGTCTCGCGGTCTACTGACAGATTCTGTAATTTGTTTTTTTATTAGTATCCAAACACCCCATATGACACCCCCATGTAACATCTGATGTGATATCCCAAAACTTTACACCCTGGATCTAAACACCACCTGATTGATCTGACTATGTGCCGATGCAGAAACTCAAGACAAGGACGCCCGCTGACAGGCGAAACAACGACGAGCGAATGAAGGGGGCAATATACAAGGGGCTATTCTAAACCTAAACATATTTGCCATGCAGTACATCTGAGTCAATCGTAGAAAGAAAAAACGACCAAGTCACAGCAGTCTATTTTTGCATGTGTAAAAGGTAAGTCCGAACTGGTTTAGCAAAAGGAGGGGCTAAGTAAACCTTTTGTTACTTTAGGGGGTCATTAGGACATAATCAACATGTGGAGGTAGTAATTTGGACTTTTTTCTAAACTAAACTTTAGACTCCAAGTTATAAAAGAAAATGCAGGCAGTGCCCAACCCGAAACATGTCTTATTGTCTGTTCCTTTTCGACGTACTCCCTCCACCCACAAAAGAACGTAATTCTCACATTTCGAGAAGTCACACAGTTTCAACTTTGACTAAAATTATATAAAAATATACTAACATTCATGAGACAAATAAGTATTATTAGATTAGTTATAAAATATATTTTAATAATAAATTTATTTTGAGACATAAATGCTAATACTAATTACTATAAATTTGGTTAAAGTTCTGACACATTTTCATAATTATATATTTTTTTTAGACGGAGGGAGTACCGGTAAGCACTAAATAAGTTTCGCCGGTAAATGAAGGTGTGATCTCCATGCGTCGGTGTCGGTAGTCCATGGGATGGCTGCCAGCAGCACCTTCCTCCTCGTGTCGACCTGGATCATCCATGTGTTTTGGTCCTTGTGGACCCTCGCAACCTTGAAGCAGACGACGTCGGGGTTGTCCAAGCTCATGACAGGGACTGTAGGTGCCCACGTGGGAGGCCCTCGTACCCCAGCATCGCCCAGAGCTCCAAGAATCACTTAGGAAATATTATTGAATATATTTTCATAATAAACTTATTTATAGATAAAAATATTGCTAATATTTTATATAAATATAGTTACACTTAAGAAAGGTTCAACCAGCATGAGTTGTATAGAGACCCTTTTAATGAGACGGAGGGAGCAGTTGCCAAACACATGTTGACTCCCTAAGACCCTATTTGATATGACTTCACATAATACATGAAAGGAGATGAAGCCAATGAAGCAAAAAATAGTAGTTTCACTGGCAACTAGTTTATTTTGAGAAGAGAGAGAAATAACTCCTTGCTATAGTGCATGGAGTAGACTAAGCCAAAGACGCTTGGAACTCTACCAAATGGGTCCTAATCAAGGTTTTAGATCTTCGGCTACACCAGCAGCAATAGCCAACCATAGCTGCGGGGTAGACATTAGCTAGTAGAACCAACTTATAGCGCTAAGAAATCCTATGCGCTAATAGTTCGATAATGATATAGAGCAGGCGTCTGAATGGGGACGGACGCATCCGACCCATGCCAAACTAACCCACCTGTGCCGTACCTCACTTCTCCTTATCCCTTCCTCAAGCCGCACTCCTGCAGCGCTCGCGCTCCCATTCTACTGTCGCTCCCGCTCGCTCGCCGTGACAGACACCACGCACCGGCCGTCCTGCTCGCCCGCCGGTACTCCCCCCTCCCTCCCTCCCTATCCCCCTCCGCGACCTGCTACCCTGGGCCCCCAGTGACCCGGCTCCCGCTCCCCCATCAAAGATGAGGACGACGGCGGCGGCTCCGACAAGGTAGGTCGGTCCCCTTCTCTGGATCTGAGCCCTCCTCCTCTAGATCTGAGCCCTCCTCCTCCTCCTATAGATCTGAGAAACGCAGCAGTGCTAGGGTTCCGACGAGCTCTGGGGTCCTATTCCCCCGAGGTGATGGGCCAGGGGCTGTTTTGTACGCTTTTGTTTTGCTGTTTCTCCCTATTGCAATGAGTTTTTTTGGATGTTGCAATATATGTTTTTTGAATGTTGCAATGGGATTTTTGGGTCGTTGCAACAGAAGTTTTTGCGATGTTGCAGTACTACTGCTTGAGATGTTGCAGTACACAATTTTTGATATTGCAGCACATAATTTTCGATGTTGCAGTACATATTTTTTCGATGTTGTAGTACATATTTTTTTGATGTTGCAGTACATAATTTTCGTTGTTGCAGGACATATTTTTTCGATGTTGCAGTATATGTTTTTCAATGTTGCACTACATATTTTTCGATGTTGCACTACATATTTTTCCCATATTGTAGTATTCATATTCTGATGTTGCACTACATAGTTTTTCCATATATCTTGCGATGTTGTACTTGAAGTGTTTTCGTGCTCTTGGGACAGGGGGCGCGGTGGGGGAACGGGGTGATGCGGGGGGCAGACGGGATCCGTTCTATTCCCGCAGGGGGGGGGGTTAGGAAGGGAGCGGCGTTCCATTCCCGCGGGGGGCGGGGGGCGGGTGGGTTTGGAAAGGGCGCGGCGCTCCGAACGTCCGGGGGCTAGGATTACCACTGATAGTTGCAATAGCTGCAGATAGCCGCTAAGTGGGCCTGAATTTTGCTGCAGCTAAAACATGGGCCATAAAAAAAAGCTAAACAAGTAGTTGTCCTGGCCCATTCAGTTTGACGTGCAATGCAATGTTCTGGGCCGGCAATGCGAAGCCCATGACCCTATCTGGTACGGTAATCACCTTAATCATCGTTAACCTAGACTAGATAGGGTTACCAACGCAAACACGCAGCAGCCATTATTGTGACCACCGTAACCTAGCGGCTAGTGCAACCATTGCATGGACGATAATGCTGGGGCGGATTCCTCTTCGTCGCTTTGACGTGCTGAGCCTACGGCCAATCATTAGTCGATACTTTGCCCCAACATGCAGCCACCGGAGTCTGCTCTCGGATTTTCCGGCGGCCACTGCCGCCACCAAAGACCGGCGATGGGTGATGCTGAGCAGCCGCCGCCCCGATGATTCACCATTCGTTGCTGACGACGCCAATACCGTCGCGGAGTCCCGCACCTCCAAAGGCCGACGCTTGTGCGTCTCCTTCATAGGCGCCGCGCCGCCGTCGAGCAACTACCTCTACTACGACTTTCCGGAGAGCGCGCGTGTCGAGCAGGGCCACGACGACAACATCAGAGTCGTCACGGCCCACGGGGAATTGATCCTCTTGGAGATGCATCACTATGGATCATCTAGTTTTGTGGACCACTTCGTGTACAGGCCGGGGCGCCCGCCGATCGCCGTCTCTGTCTCTGCTCCCCGTTCCAGACTTTCTCACCATGTCCGAGAGCGTCTTTGCACCCGACTTTAACCCTCGCATCCGCCCAAGCTGGACTCTGGGAGCATAGGCCTACTGCGGCAAGCCGAGAACGACCTCCTTGCCGTCCAGGTCCAGCTGCGGAATATAGTTGGCCAAATCGGCCGCCCGGCACGGCACTGGCACGGGCACGGGCACGGCCAGGCACGGCATATTAG